GTCCCCGGTCCTGTGTCCCAGTGAGTGAGGACAACTCAACTCAGCAAACACAGGCCGCACTGCAGAGGCCCCGTCCCCGGTCCTGTGTCCCAGTGGGTGAGGACACACAGCCCCAAGAGACAACAGAGGTGTGGGAGCACAGAGTGAGACCTCAGGAACCATGGTCATCACCACCTCCACACATGGACGAACACGGCCAGACACACCTGCCACCAAGGGCTGAAACAGCAGAACCGAGGCCTCAGGACGGCCCACGCTTGCACAACCAAGGGCGGCCCTGGGTTTGAGGACGTGACAGAGCTGCGGTGCCGGAGGAGAGGCTGATCCAGGGACCAGAAACTCGAGGGTCCTGATGGACCCAAACCTCGGCCTGAGTCTCAGGTGGTGCAGCTGCTGGAAAGAGCTGGTGGAGCCTCAGCTGCGTCCAGGGCACCTGGGAGGCGCTTGTCCTTGAACCTGTATCTACAGCAGCTTCTCAGCGTCAGGCACACAAGCCCTGAGTGTCCTGTGTTGCCTTAGGGATTATAGGATGAATATTTGTTGCTTTGAAAGTTGTGAATTTATGAAATGTAGAAAGTAAAAAGCTCCTCCTCAAAGTTTCTTGTTAAAGAATAAATCACGTTAGAAATAATAGTTTCTTTTAAAGCTAACTTCTTTCAAGTCTCCTTGCTTTGTGCTAATAACTCTTTGTTAATTAAGCTCTATCCTATGTAGCTGCTGGACATGCCCACAGGCTCGTAATACATTCTGTGTCCTTGTACCTTAACCAAGATATTTGTGTTAGACGTACTAATAGGCATGTCCCAGCTCACAGCCTATGCCCCTTCCTTATTTAAAAATATTATTTTTCTACCTATTTAAAAAAGTTTTAAATTATTAGCCAGTCAGGTTGTAATTTAGATTGTGAGGTCTGGCTCCAGCCAATGGAGACAGGACACACCATAGGACCTCATGCATAAGGAATCGATGTTCTGGCATCTCTTTATTCTGTGTGTGCCCTCGCCATTATTCCATCTGCGAGGGACACCCTTTCTGCGGAAAGTAAAAATTGCCTCGCTAAAAGAACTTTTTGTCTAAATGCTAATTTTTCCTTATGACACCGAAGAACAAACATTTTG